TCAAATACAATTGTAGATCGAAGGCAGCCTTGTCACGTTGAGGAAAAGTGAATTTCTAACATCCAGGACGTGCCTGTCTACTTTCAGCGAATTGCATCCAATCACCCCCAGGGAATTCAGCTAATGTCTCAATCTCCACCCGGACAAGGGAGAGAAAGAAATCCAACATGGTGCCACACACTGACCAACTGACTTAACCTGAAAATGGTTAGAAGGAAAGGAAAAGCAGAGTTTCCTCAAATTGGATGTACCTTGAGATTTTTCTTAGTGAGAAAGCAAACTGAGAGGATTTGCAGATTTTCCCAAATGTCTAAGAGAACTTTATGTTGGGCTAGAATGGATAGAAGAGAGAATAAACTAAGTATTTCTCTGAATAAGAGCAGGAAAATAATCGAGTAACAGAGAAACCACAGCACTGCATACAGTCATACCATTATGAAATCTTTTAGACCTCAATGAAGAGACGGCAAATATTACGCTCCCTAAATATTTTCCTTTTGGTGCTCAGCTTCACAAAACATTCCTCCATTTGAAATGACACACAACATACATGGTATTTTTTTTCTCAACTAGTCAGGGGCTTTCCCCTCTCCTCTTATTAATTTTTATCTGAAAAAGTTTTATTAAACCCCTTTATAAATGAACACCCACCCAGGAGCAATCATTCTAAATACAGACGTTAACAGGGTGCATTAGCATTCAGACTTAATAAAATGAAATTAAATACTGAAGTGGAAAAATCCATTTTTGCTTTTCAATTGTTGCCAGACTCAATAGCCATTGTCAAGACAAATACTAAATCACCCTAAGGCACAGATCCTGCTTGAGGGGCTTCCAATCGAATCGGCTTTATTTGCCTAATGTGGGGTGGGGGGGAGGGAGGGGGGAGGGAGGGAGGGTAGAGAACGAACAAACCCTGGACTAGAACAACAGATCTCAGCTACAGTTCAAGTCAAGAATGGATCTATGGTCCCCTGTCTCGCTCTCCTTCCAAGCAAGCCTCGCTCTCTAACCATCCCTCTGCTTTTCTTCCTCCACCCTTACTTCTACCTCGGGACCCTCACCCGCTTCCACACTCCCCGCCTCGCTTCTCCGGGCTAGTGGGGAAGTTCTGGGCTTTCGGCCAGTCTTAGGCCCGGGGCTGACCAGGGAGGCCCCGCAGACCCGGCGGCTGCCGAGCTCGCTCACTCCTGCTGTTTTGGAACTGCCCTGGGTGTCACAGAATTTCTGTTTCTGGCCCTTTGCCCCCTCCCTACAGATTGCACTCCGCACCCCGGGTTTCATCGTGTCGATGACGCCCCAGGGCCGCCCGCGGTGCTCTCTAGCTGCCTAGACAGTCTGCCTGTGCCCAGGCAGGGCCAGGCCAGGCCTCAAGGGCTGGGCACACTACAAGGGGGCGGGCCGGGCCGCCCCCAAGGCCTGTGGAAGGTTCCGGGGTCACGAGCCACCCTGGGACCAAGCTTTGGCAGAGGCGAAACTTGCCCTCCCCAGTGGCGACCCGGCATCAGCCTCCTCCCGCCCTGCCTTCTGTGCCCAGGACAAATGGAGAGAGGCTCGTGCGTTGGCCCGGAGCGCAGAGGGGCCTAGCCCGGCCTCGCCTCCACCGTCCGGCGCTCCCGCGTCGCTCGAGCGCGCCCTTTATTGACAGGCAGATAAGAACGCCCGGACCGTGGCGTTTCCAGCGTCTCTCTCGAGCACCCTGCCGCGTTGCAGGGATCCGCGCACTCTTAATGGTCTGGACTCCAAACAAGCCCGGAGCAGCCTTCCCCGCGGCCTCCCTTCCGGACAAAGGGGGTGGGTGGTGAGCGAGCCGCTGACACGAACGAGGGAGCTAAGGAGGCCTGCTCAGGCCCGGGGCCTACACGCAGTCCAAACTCTAAGGCAGACCGTGGAGCTTGGGAAATCTCAGGACGTCTGGGGCGGAGAGCTGGATCTGGCCCTGACGGGAGCTCGGGCGTTTGCCAAGAAACTAGGTCAGGGAAGAGTGCTCGTGGCGGTGGAGAAACCCGAGCAAACGCCTCTCTGAGTGCCACTCCCCAGTGGAGCCAACTTGGGGGAAACAGGACCACATTAGCGTTCTGGCGCAGATATGAGTGGTAGGTGGCGAGGGCGGGGGGCGGGGATGGATGCTCCTTGCCCCTGACACTGGAAGTCCAGAGAGCTGGGTGGAGAAAATTGCGGGCACCGTCTGTAAATAAGAACCACACCTAGACCTTTCCACCAAGAGGCTCCCATTCTCCTCCACACTTCTACCCTGCCCTCAGACCCTCGAAGGGCCGAGGAAAGAAAATCAAGTTCGGCAGGGAGCTGGCCTGGCCAAGAGGAGCGGGCAGACTGGCTGCCTAGAGCCTCCTCCTGGAAGATTGCAAAGCTCCACACTTGCCCAGGTGTGCTGGAGGCGGGAGCAGGAACCGCTTGACCTGTCGCTCGCCATCTGTGCTGGTTGTCCCTTTGCTGCCCCCACCCAAGCAGGTGAACAGGAACTGGCCCTGCGGCCCTCCTCAGGCCTAAGCGTCTCCTTCCCAGCTTTAACACACACGTGTCCAGGTCCATGCCTCTGCTGAGCTGCTTAAAGACAACTCCACGCCCCCCTCTACTTCCGCTCCCGAGCCACTCGGTCGCGCAAACCCTGCCCCTCCGGGCTGGACTTCTGTCACTTCCACGTTGGAGACCCGGATGGAGGCTGAGAATGAAGGGATTGGACATTGAGAAGCCTCCTCCCCTGTTGAGGGTTAGGGGGAGAGACCCGGGAATGACAATGCGGGCTTTAAGCCCTCATCCCTAGACAGGTAGTCCCAGCTCGACTGAGCCATCTCCCAGTCTACCCTGAGCGTGAGAGGAAAACAAGCACAGACCCCCAAGCCCTTATCCTGCTTACCCCGCCCCAGTGTCTGTGGTTTCCTCGGCTTCGGGAAGGGTAATCTTGATTTAAGACTCTAGAACTTTCCTGGTTTCCTCCTCTGGGCTACAAAGTCAACAGTTAACCCCAAAGTCAACGACTAATAAAAAAATCACCTACATTTTCTATGTGACTGGAGCCTATGAAGGCTCAAGGAGGCGAAGGGAGCCCGAGCAGGTGCGGTGGCTGCCCTTAGGAGAACCCAGCGGGCCTGGAGAGGACTTGGCCTAGCCTGGGAGAAGGGATCGCTCGTCCGCTCCCCGAGCCTCCGTCTGTGCCCAGCTGGTGACTCGTAGGCTTGAGGGCATGGTTGGGATGCCCATCACTCGTTGAGCTCCTCCTGAAAAACGATTCCTGCAAGAGGACCTTTTTAACCGCGGTGCAACTTTCGGGGTCCTCCGAAGTGACTCCCTCAGGGATCGGAGGAGGGGAAACGCTGGGCACCCGGGAAGGTAGCTGGTAGGGGAGACCCCTGGTTCCAAGAGGGAAGGCGGAGCGCACTCCGGAGGGCTAGTTTTCTTGGGCTGACTCCACGCCCTAAGGGCGGGCGGGCGGGCGGGTCGGGGCCAGGTTGGGCGCGGGCAGCCACGGGCTGGCCCAGGAAGGACACGGCATTGCTTAGAGCCGGCCAAACTCCGGGTAAAGAAGGAGGAGGCTACAGCCCGGCCGTAGCGCTCGTGGGCGCAGGGCCGAGCCCAACTCTGGCCGCCATGACGTCACGCGGGGCCGGCAGCCAATGAGGACCGCGCTGGCAAGGATATTAAGGAAAGTTAGCGCCTGCCTGAGCACCCTTTTTTCTTATCATTGACATTTAAACTCTGGGGCAGGTCGTCGCATAGAAGGCGGCTGTCAGATCTGCCACTTCCCCTGCCGAGCGGCGGTGAGAAGTGTGGGAACCGGCGCCGCCAGGCTCACCTGCCTCCCCGCCCTCCGCTCCCAGGTAACCGCCCGGGCTCTGGCCCCGGCCCGACCCGGAGCCCGCGCCGCCTCTCAGCTGCCCGCGACGGGTGTCCCCCAATTCCAAGCCCACCTCAAGTAGCCCAGGGGCTTGATTTTTGCCTTTAAAAGGAGGAATACAAAGATGTAGGGGAGTTACGGAAGGCGGAATTGGACAGGGGAGGAGGGGGTGTCTTGTCTTTGCGGAGCGTGCTTTTCCACAAAAGTAGCAAAATGTTCCAGTCCCCAGAGCGGACTTACCGTTGGGTGTTGGGGTGGGGTGAGAGGGGCGGGGAGATGGAGACGGGGATCAGCCGCTGCTGTCTGCAGAAGCCGTTCGCTACTGTGAGAAATGCAGGAGGAGGGACGCAGTTTGCACCCAGACCTCCCCCTAATCGCAGTTCACCGCATTCATGCGCGAAGTCCTCACCCGCTCCTGCAGCGCGTGCAGCAAAAGTTTCCCGCGATTGCAAAGTGTAGACGGTCAGACCAAAACAAAGTCATAGAGATGGGAGTTCGTTTCTCAAAAGGGAGCTGAGGACTAAAGAATGCTATCGGTGGAGCGGGGCAGCGCGTAAAGCCCCCAGCGTGTGATTTGAGCTTCACTTCGGACGACCTAATAATTAGCGATTCTCACTGAGCTAGAACGCGGGCTCCGGTTACCGCGGGCGCTGCGCTCGCTGCCTCGGTGGGAAGTCTGGGCGCCAGCGGACCCCATACGCTCAATGCCAGGAAGGCAGCGCCCGCGACTCTCCTGCCCCCGGGCAGCTTCAGCCGGGTGCCAGAAGTTTCTCCTAAGTGGGCCAAGGAAGGAAAAGACCCCGAACTTAGACTAACCCGTGGCTCCGCGGGGCGGAAGTTCCAGGAGACCAGCCACAGGCGGCGGGAGACGCCAGGGCAGGCTCAGGCAGGGCACAGCAGCACCCGCCAGGGGGTTAGGGAGGTGCCTAGGTCAGGCCCGGGCTCTCTCCCTCACTCCCACTGTTGCTCTTGGCGCCCCCTCTCTAGAACTTCTGGGGGGTCATCTTTGGAGGACGTTGGTATCGCAGGCACCTGTGACGGGTGCCAGGGACCAGGGCCCAATTCCGAGAGGTGGCCATCCCCTGCCCACCTCGCCTGGAAAGCAGGGGAACGAGGGAAATGGTCACCGGGCAGAGCACCTTACCTGAATCGGGGTCCTCTCCTCCTCGAGTTCCTTTCTCTGGAGCTGAGGAGCTAGCAGGTTGCCCACTTCGCTGTGGGAAGTGGACCTTCTCCTCTAGTCATAAATCAAATCCAGCCATCCTCCGGCCTCCTCCCTCATTAGAGATGTTTATTGGAGATTGTGTTTATTCGGCTGTCAGGGCGAGAAAACGCAGTGACATAATTACCTCTGACCAGAGTGCTCGCCCCGCTCCCAGGGCAAGCTGGGGACCTCCTCTGCCGCCTTCTCGCTCCCGTGCCCTCCTTCCTCGGAGGGCGTACGTAGTTGGCTGATCTTTTTTTTCCCTTGGACCCGCTCATATCATTTGGATTATTGAACGAGCTGCTATTCAAATTTCCCCAGGGCCAGGAATTTATTTATTTATTTATTTTAGAATTTGAAAGGAAAACCGAAGGGAACCTAACGCCCCTCCAGGGCGGAAGGGGGCAGCGCGGGAGAGACGGAAGGAGAGTCTCCCTGCGCAAACTTTCCGGCCCTCCTGGCTGGGGCGCGCGGGTCCAGACGCCACCCGGCGCCAGAGCCTGGCCGGAACAGTGGGGAGCTGACCAGGAGGGATAGATGCTTCTATTGGTTGTGTTATTTGTTGTTTTAGTTTCCATTCTCGCTTCTCTCCGGGGGAGACTTCAGCGCCCCAGGCTGAGGATTCTTAAACTCTTCCAGGCCGAACTCAGGGAGCCAGCCCGCAGCTCCTCGCCCGTGTCTTGCCCCAGGGCTGCCCCTGGGCATCAGTTTTCCCTACTAGCGAGGTTTGTAAGTCATCATCTGTGAGACTGAGTTAGGAAGTGATGAAAAGCGCCGAATTATTCTCTAATTGAAAAGTACTCTCTCTCTCTCTCTCTCTCTTTTTTTTTTTTGTTATGGCGCTGACAAATATCTGGGATCCTGGCTTTTGATCCGTCACTGCCGCTTCTGTTCTCCAATCACTAATAAAACTCGCATTGAGCCTTTCAGTGCCTTGATTAACAGACATATTAACTCTTACTGGTGTGGGGAACAGCTTGTCCCAATCAATGTCATTTTAAGAGCCGTCAGGATACGCTTAGCTCCGGCTCTCTGGCTGCTCAAGCGAACCAGCCATGACATTTGCTCCCTCCCCCTTCCCCAGCTTCAAATCCTTCTGCAAAGCTCCCAGTTCCCAGCCCGAGTGTTCCCTGCTCCACTCTGGGACAAACTATGGCCTTGGTCCCTGGCCATTAAAATAGGCAGCTGTTTAGAGAAGGGATCTCCAGGGAGAAGAGACTGAGGTGGCTTTGCCTTGCTTTTCGTTTGAAGCTAAACTCTTGCCTGTGGAAGGCAGAGGTTATAGGAAGGAGAGATGGGATACCATCCTGGAAAAGCAAACTTTCCTGGGAACCCTATTTGCAAAAAACCAGAGAGTGCCACTGATTGCAAATGTACTACACATCAGGAGTTTTAAACCTGGGCCCTATCTGGACAGCAGCATGTAAGTTCCAGGAAGCAAAGGACTGGGAGTCTTTTTGGAAACCCAGTTGGACAATGTTTTTTAAAAATTATTTGGAGGAGGGGTAGAGAAAGAGAGATGCTTGCTGCCTAATGTGAATGGAAGAGGACCTAACCCATTTGCCATTTGGTAGGAGGCCAGCGCAGGCCCGCCAGGACAGGCCAGGGCTCCGAGGCTTTTCCCAGCCATTCCTGACCACAGAGCAGACCACCAGGTCTGCTCCCGACTCATTTCGGCTTTCCTGGCACCCCAGGCTCTGCCAAGCTGCGGGGTGAACTGGAAACCTGCAGGCTGTTGGAGAAAGGAGAGGGAGAAAGGCCTCGAGTGGAGGAAGCAACTCGAACTGGGCAGCAGGGGTGGACGCCTTTGCCTTTTGTGCTCATTTAACCTCTTTTGCCAGCTCTGCTGTCGAGGGAACCCACCTGCCAGGGCTAGCAAAGAGATAGCCTTTTGAGTCTCTGCAAAGTGACGCAGGTGTCTGCGGAGACTTTCCTCCTTCAAAGAAAAGCTCGTCTCCACCCTTCCCAGCGCGCCAGCACCGCGCCTCTGCTAGGCGTTGGAAAGCGGGATTCAGAGGTGCCGCAACACCGGGTGGGAGACTCTTGGTTCCCAAGCCCAGAACCAAAAGCACATCTCCCAAGAGCTGGGCGCGTCTTTGACTCGCCAGAGGCCGCCTGCAGACCGGAAACCTGCGGAGTAGGCAACCGCGAATTCCTGGGACCGCTGGCGGCGAGATGCCCGCCTGACCTCACATTGACGAACCAATACTGGCCAGAGGCTCCCGGTGCTCTCCGGTGAGCGGCGAGCCTCCGCGCAAGCAGCCTCCCCCTACCGGGTGGGATGACCCCGGCGGCCCCTGCGGGAACTAGCCGAGGAGCTGTCCACTGCGGGCGCCGGGAAGGAGGGAGGAGACTTGGGGAGAGGCGGGAAAAGGCGAGACAGAAACCGAAGGCGCGATCCCCCCTACCCCCCACCCCGGCCTGGAAGGGTCTCGGTGGCGTTGGGAGCCGCAATTAAAATGGCGACCTGCGAGCTGTCTCAGTTTCGCGCACACCTCTGCCCCCGGCGCGCGGCATCCGCGTCCCGGCCGCGGCACTTTGCAGAGGGCGCAAGGCGCCCCCCGAGGTAGAACAGCGCTCCCATCCTCTTTGAAACTGGCGTGGAGGAAAGAGCAGGAAATCGCGCTGTCCAACTCTCTCTCCTTAAACTTTGAAAACTCTGCCTCCCTCGGGTCTGAGCCCCCCCCCCATCCCAAATATTGACACACTGGAAACAGCTAAGTCCTTTTTGTTTCTTGTTTGTGCAGTGGGGTTTCCAAGAGTCCTTCCCGGAGCCCCCACCCCACCCCCACCCGATGACGTCAGTGGCATTCACTCCCAGCTCCTCGCTGCTTATGATTTTTTTGTTGTTAAAACTTTTCTCCGAGGTGAGATAGGGGCTGGAGGGTGGGAGAAGGAGCCGATTCAAAGAGCGAGTGCCCAGGGGGGAAATAGCAACAAGATTACGGCCGCTGCTTTCCGAGGCAAAGCTTAAGAAGGTGCTAATCCACTCGGTCGCTAATTGAAAGGTTGTAAAAATGATATTTGCCTCCAGTTCGGACAGAGACTCTGGGCCTCCCCCCGCCCCTCGCTTATGCCCAGTGGACTTGAATGCAAGCTTCTTGAATGCTTGTTTGAGAAGCAAAAAGGGAGAGGAAAGGAACGCAGGCTCTCGCGGGTCTGGCCCCGGAATCCGGAAAAGTCGCGGTCCTACGAAATCTGGCTTAGGAGACCGCCGGCCCGAGCGCTCGGAGCCACCTGCTTCACTTCTGGCCTGGGTTTTCTGCGGGCGCGCAGTGCACCTGGGCCGCAGCAAGGGCGGTTTCAAGACCGAGGAAGCCAGCCGGTTGTGCTGCCCCCAACGCTGGCCCAGGCTCGAGCTGCCTGCGTTCTTCCCGAGCTGTGCCCAAGCTTCTTAGTCTCGGCGGTACTCGGTCCGGGCTGGGGACGAGGATGCGAGGCCCACACTAGGCCCCGCAGCACCAGTGCAGCCTGCAGCGTCCTCGCGGCTACAGCTCCTGCGGGCGGCTGCCGTACCGCCTGTTAGCCGCGACTTCAGAGCGTACAGACTTTATTGATGAGCTCTGACTTTCAGCACTTTTAATAAGAGGAGTCAAGTGTCCTCCGTGGTGGCTTCATTTCAGTCTCCCTGCTTGAGCTCTTCCAAACCCTATACTTTGCCGGGTCTTGAGGTGTGTCCCCCATCCTCGGACTTCCCCTTTCCCCCCGTGCTACGGCCTGCAAGCTCCGAGAGGGCTCGAGACTTCTTCGAAGGACTAGGCGGCCGCTCTCTTCCTGTCACCTTAACTGCGGCTCCGAGGGGCGCCTTTGGAGTGTACTGAGGTGTGTCCTAATTGTCCGGCATTCAACAAATGGACTTCTGGTGTGTGGTCAGAAGAGAAAAGTCATTTACCTTCTTTCCTCCCCGGGTTTTCTGGCAACAGTTGAAGGGGAGCTGTCTCCGTGGACTGAGAAGACCCAGGAGAAGGAATCGTGGTGCCGACACACCTGCACCACACAGAGATAACCTGTGGCACACACCGATACACGCTGAGACACCGACGTCGCCAGCGAGGACACACACACACACACACACACACACACACAATCTCTCCCAGCATTGGTCATCCCCCTCCCCTCTTAACTCCCCCTGGCGTCCCCTCCTCTTGGGCGCTTGGAAAAGCAGTCGCACTTAGTCAACAAATGGCACGTGGGAGAAGTTGGTGAGTGTTTGGTGAGGACTCTTCAGGGCTTTTCACAAGAACCCTCTGTACACAAAGTAAGTGGCGTGTTTGCTCGGGCCTCTCCATCCCGGCTGTGTCTCCGCTCCGCTGCGCACCGAGGCTTCCGAAAGGAAAAAGAACAGAAGAAAGGGTCGGGGGAGCGAGGGGGGTCGGGGGGAGTGGGCAAGCTCGGGAGGCCTGGGCTGGGAAGGCCGCCCGGCCTCGCCGAGTTTTCAGCCTGGCGGCCTCTTCTCGGCCTAGGCTTCGCTTCAGCCTCCGCCGGAGTGTTGCAGCCGAGACCCAGTGTTGCCCCCGCCCCTTTCTCTTCTTTCCCGCGGCCAGGTGGGCTAGGGCGCGGCCACTGCCGTGCTCCTTTTCCCAGCGCCCTAGGGAAGACCTGGTAGGGGCGGGAGCGGAGGGCGGGCGGAGGCGGGGCGGCCGGCCGAGCTGCGTGGATGAAGGCAAGAAAGGGCTCTGTAGAGCTGCAGAAACTTGCTTCCCTCCCTTGAATTGGGAGTTCCGTGCCCAGCTTAGGGAGGTGGGGGGCGCGACCCTCAGCCCGGCGGCCTTCAATCGACCCCTCAAGTTTGCTGCCACGATGCGGACCGCGCTGACTCCCGGAGCGCTCGGAGCCTAGAGATGTCGTCAAGCACCAGCTCCAGAGCTCGGGAGCGGGGGCCCAGTGCCGGGGAGAGGAGCCCGGACCCACCGGAGGAGCCGATAACAAGTGTATTCATATTCAAACAAACGGACCAATTGCACCAGGCGGGGAGAGGGAGCATCCAATCGGCTGGCGCGAGGCCCCGCCGCTGCTTTGCATAAAGCAATATTTTGTGTGGGAGCGAGCGGTGCATTTGCATGTTGCGGAGTGATTAGTGGGTTTGAAAAGCGAACCGTGGCTCGGCCTCATTTCCCGCTCTGGTTCAGGCGCAGGAGGAAGTGTTTTGCTGGAGGATGATGACAGAGGTCAGGCTTCGCTAATGGGCCAGTGAGGAGCGGTGGAGGCGAGGCCGGGCGCCGGCACACACACATTAACACACTTGAGCCATCACCAATCAGCATAGGTGTGCTGGCTGCAGCCACTTCCCTCACCCACACTCTTTATCTCTCACTCTCCAGCCGCTGACAGCCCATTTTATTGTCAATCTCTGTCTTCTTCCCAGGGATCTGAGAATTGCTCTCACACACCACACCAGCAGCATCCGTGGAGAAAACTCTCGCCAGCAACTCCTTTAAAATACCGTCATTGCAAACCGTTGTGGTCTTTAAGCAGCCATAACAGCCAAAACACCCCAACCAAACAAAACTCTTGACAGGAGCTTTGACGGGAGAGGATGCCTCACAAAGGTGAGTCCGCTTCTTTCTTCTCGCTTCATTTTTTATTGCAGTATTCAGGCAGGTATCACCCTACCTCCCCCTTCCTTCCTCCCCTCTCACCGGTGTCCTCCCCCATTGCTTCGCCGCGAGAGTCGGGCCGGAGAAGTTTCCACGCAGGAGCCCAAACTTTGTACTTCCAGCGAAACCCCGCGGCCGGCGACCGGGAACGGCGCCGGGCTCCGGGCGGGCGGCCGGCGTATCCCCGGCGCCAGCGCGGGCGGAGCTCGCAGGAAGAACCCGGGCTCCGGGAGCAGCAGAAGCCGCGCGGCTCCCTGCCCCAGCGTCGCCCAAGGTCCCCGGCCGGCGGGAGAGGAGGAAGAGGCTCCGTGGCGCCCGAGGCCCGGGAACGGCTGCCGGGACCTCCAGCGGCCGGCCGCTTTGTCCTGCCGAGGGCCCAGCGAGCGCGCCGGGAGCGGGCGCACCGAGGGAGCGCTTACGAAGCCGGCTCGCTGCGCTGCGGCCGGCTCGCCCGCCCGCCCTCCGCCTTTGTGCCGCGCTCGAGCGGGGCACAGAAGTCCGCTGGCGCTCGAGCGCCGAGGGGCAGCGCGCCCGCCGTCCGCTGGAGCGGAGTCCATCGGCAAGGCCACCGCACGCTGCAGGGGGAGAGGAAGAGCGTGTGAGCGGGAGTCGGGAAGGAAGCCGCCAGGCCAGAGCGGTCGGTCGACGAGCGCTCCGAGGGAGCTCCGAGTCGGGCCCAGGATTGCCAGCTTCCATCAAGCCCTCAGGCTCTTGCCCCCAACCGGAGCGCAGAGCTCGGAACCTGCAAACTCCCCAGGCTTCCCCTAACCTTCGCACCCGCCGAGTGAAAGCGGGGTTTCCCCTGTCCTCCAGCCCCCCAACGCTCGGTGGGAATTTTTCCTTGTCTTATCCTGACAAAGCTGCACCCGGTGTTACCATTTCAACAAGTTTCGAGGTGGAAACGTGGATTGCTTTTTTTTTTTTTTTAAATGTGAGTCCCCTGAATTTTTCTTCATGAGACTTAAAAAAAATCAATATGAAAGCACTGGGTTTCCCCTTCGTTCGGTCACGTCCTGCCCCAGCTAATTAGTCTGAATAATTTGAGAGCTTTTCGATTGATTCTGAGACCCCAGGAGGAAAAGTGTCTTTTCAAAGTTCCAAAAGTTGTTGCCTCTTTCCTTGTGCAGATTTTCTCAGTCTCTGCATCCCACAATAGCCCTGATTTTTAGCAAGTGAAGTTGGGGGAAATGGAGTTGAATTTCAAGTGGAAATGCTCTAAATTTTTTTTAAATGCTAAAACCCAGCCCTCCCGTCTTGAGTGATTTCTACAAAGTTTAAAAACAAAGTTAAACGTGCTATCTTTTTCTCTCCTACTCTACAAAGCTTCCTAAGTCATTTTGGATGTTTAGCTTGAACTTGGAAATGTTGAGGGGGGAGTGGGAACAGAAAATGAAATTAAAAGCAAAGAGCTTGAAAGCCTGGTGAGTTTACCAAGGAGAAATAATAGTTGTTGCCGTTGACATTACATTTTTTATAGCCAGTGACCTTTGCAAATGGCTGAAGGCAATTTGATTAGTTGTTATCTTATTTGGCCCTAGAGAGTAAAACTTTGTCATCGTAATTGCTAATTACTTTTTGACTGGGGCCCGGCAGGGTCGAAAGTGAGCTCTCCCCTTCACCCCAGCTAAGTACTTTGGGGTTGGATTTTGAGAAGTAATTAAAACAAGAGTATTTAAAAGCTGAGGGAGGCAGTGGCCCAGTGGACCAGGGCCCTGGCGATTTCCAGAAGTCTGGAAACTCCTTCGTTGCAGGCGTGGGTCTCTGACCTGGCTAGGGCTTTAGGAATCGGCGGGCTGAGCTGGGGGTCTCTGGCTGTGGCTGGGGGTGGGAGGAGTCTCGCCTCTCTGCGCAGGACTGCTTCCAGGTGTCCGTGTGCCCTGCTTCTGGGGTTGCTTTTGCACTAAGTATTAGCTATTACTTAAGTAATTAGATAGCTTCTTAGCCGAGTTGGGTGGGGGGGGCGGTGGTGAGAGTGGAGCAGGAAATGCTTCCACCTTCCCAGATGCTTTGAAAATTAATCAGTTAGGTCTCTTTGAAACCAGCTACTGAATTTTTAAAAATGACATGAAGAATGTGCTGGCTGGGATGGGGGCATTCAGTGGTGGTTGAGTACAGAGTGCGTTACAGAGGGCAGTTCTGGAAGTTTTACCCCTTCTAGGAGAATTCCGCTACCCCTCTTCTTGCCTGCTACCACTTTGCAGTTTTGGAGTCCCACTTTAAGGCTGGGGGAGAGAACACATTGTGTTCCAAGTTGGGGTTTCTGTCTGGCGGGGACATAACTGTAGTCATGAGGACTGAGAGACGGGCAGGAGGCCTTGAGAGCCACCCCAGCTAGGCATTACTAGGTAGCCCTCTGCCATCTCCAATATTTACCAGGCCGTATTTGGAAGCTGGGAAACAGTCCTCCTCTTAAGATTATTTTTTTATAGAGTTAAGCTGCCTTCCAGCTAGGTAAATTAGACCACGAGTGGCCTTGGAGAGAAAAACGTACTCCTTGGAATTCCTTGCTTGCAGGCAGGCAAAATTAATAATCACAATAGGCAAAACAGAAAAAAGAATGAACATTTTAGTTTTTTTTTTAAGAGGGAGAAATGATGCTCTAACTATTTAATTATTTTTCTTCTTCTTCTTCTTCTTCTTCTTCTTCTTCTTCTTCCTTTTCTTTCTTTCTTTCTTTTTTTTTTTTTGCAAACCTCCTGAATGGGCTCTTTATTGTAATTCTCTCTTCCCAATTGAGCTCCCCACGGTGCCGTTGTATCTTTTTACAGCCCCTAACAACTCACACCAGTAACACAATTACCTCCAGATATTTATAACAAGAAATTACTTTTCTATTTTCTGCCCCCTCCCCCAGAATCTTCTTCTTAGGGGAAGGCAGGGAGGGGTGGTGGAGGGTGAACCTTGGGGAGACATGCACTAGGTCAGGATTTACAAAGCAAGAAGTGTCTCTCTTTTCCCTTTGTGAGTTGGTGGGTTGTTTGGTGTGTGTGGTTGGAAGCTGTGTTGCTGGTTAGGGAGACTCGGTTTTGCTCTTTGGGTTTGGGGAGAGCTGGAGAATAGAAGCCATTGTTCGCTGTCTGTAGGCTTTGTCGACCACGCTCACCCCCTCCTGTTCGTACTTTTTAAAGCAGTGAGGCGAGGTAGGCAGCGTGTGTCACAGTACTGTAAAAGGGGGCAAGATCTAAACACCAAAAGAAAAGTTTATCACAATAAGTGAGGTTTGGGGGGGAAAAGTTGGGCTGCCACATTCAAAGTCCCAGAAAAGCTGGGAGATGGGTGGAGTGGGGGCCTGGCTGGGAAGCTTTGAAGGGGAGAGGAAAGGATAAAGGGGTAATCAGAGAGTTGGGTTCTGGAATGATGCAATTCCAGAACCCAACTTTGGCAACTGGAATGGTGAAATTCCTTAAGGAGAAAGTATGGCTCTGCAGCCCTCCTGGTCAGCCCCAGCCTGCACTGTCAGGCACCCTGAAGTCCAGAGGTCCTCTTGCCCTCATCTCTACACTTCAGGTATTATGCCTCAGCCTCTACCCCTTATTCCACTGTTTCTTTTGTTCTTTCCTTTTCCTTTCCCTTTCCCTGGTTCCTGGTATTTTTGCAAAATGGTACCTGACTTGTGAGATTCTCTAATTCTCCCAAACCAGGCCAGAGCAGCCACTTCTAAAAAGGTGGTGATTTCTGCAGGACCTGCCGCTGAAAATGTGGGTGCCACTCTGAGATTTAGGGTTGTATGGGTTTTGAGTCCTAGGTGTGTATTTTGTTTTGTTCTGTTTTCTGAGAGTGTAGCTCAGAGAGCCCATGGGCCTGTCCTTTTGAGCCACAGTTTGATATGCCTTTCTTTCCTTCTGTTTTATCTTAGGGGGAAGACTTTAACTAGGGGCGTGCAGATGTGTGAGACCTTTTATTGTAAGAGTGGACAGACATCCCAGATTTCAGGCAAGTTCTGTGGTGGCTTGAAAGCTGCTTTGGGCTCCAAAACCCTAAAGAATCAGGAGGTGTCTTTATTGTTGTTCATATGGAAGGGAAAAAAAAATCAAAATTGGGTCACCCTTTCTCCTGAGTAAAAGGTTGACTGCTTGGGGATTTGGAAGAAACAGGTTGGAAATACTGGAGTATTTTATTTGTAGATTTTGCATGCACTGGAGGGCAGAGCTGGATGACCCTCAGATGGCCTTAAGCAACTGAGTGGATCATTTCCTAAAGAACGGGTAGTCTCCTGTCCTGGCTCCAGGTCAGCCTCTGTCGGAAGGCAGGCCTACCTGGCTGGGGCCCAGGATTAACGCCTATATTCTTGCTAACAGAGTCTCATATTCGAGCCCCGTGGGATCCGGCGGCCCCCAGCCAGCGCCAGCATGCAGAACAGTAAGTTCCTCTGGTCTTTCTCCAACTGGGTTGGGGATGTGAGGACCACTGGGTCAGGGGAAGGCTCAGAGGTTCCTGCTGTCAGCGATGGCCAGGCCATGGGCGTGAGGGAAAAGTCTCTCTTGAGTTTGTGAAGCTGAGGTAGAGAAACCCCATCCCCCCAAATCCTGTAACTCACACCCCCCTCCCCGCCCCTGCCCGGGCTCTGACCCCAGAGAGAAGAGAGAGGGGCTGGGCTGAGCAGGGCTGGGCGGAGGCTTCTCCTGGTTGCTTGAGGAGAAGGGGGCCCCTTCAGGCTTAGCCAAGACTGAAAGTCTCCACCGTCTGGACAGGGTGTGGGGACACCCCTCCCCCAGTCAATCCCAGGCAGCTCCTTTCCCACCCACCCTGCTAGGGGTCTGGAAGGCCAGAGGGGCCGACACTCAGGCCTGCAATGGGATGAAGGTGGTAAACTCGACCAAGTGGGCTGTTAGTGGGCTCTGGCAGAGCAGATTTCTTGGGTCTGGGAAGAGAGTGGGGGGTCAAGCTGAGGAGGTGGAAAAGCCCTGCCCTGGTAGCTGCTGCAGCTGTGTGGGTCCTGGTTGTTGTAGACCCATAGTGTCTTTGATTCCCCAGCTCTTGAGCCTCCTATACCCCCTTCTGCAAGGGCCTCTTGGACCCCCAGTCCACCTTCCTAATCAGCCCAAGCCTGTTGGTACATAGCAGAACTACAGGCCTGGGAGACTGCAGGCCCAGGGAAACCTAGACCCTGGTTGAAGTGCAGCGTCTGGACGCTGTTTAAGGGCTCAGCTGTGGGAGTGCAGAAAGGCCCCAGTCTTCTAGCAACCTTCCCCTGCCAGAAATGCGGACTTAGGAGGGTGTCTAGCATCGGATCCATCTGTCCTAGAATTGCTAGCTGCCTCCTGGTGCTTCTGTGGCTGGTGGGCTCGAAGCTCAGGAGAGGGGTGCAAAGGTGGCAAGCTTTAAGGGGGGAGGGGTTAGTTGTGCAGAACCTGCCAGGCCCCCAGGCTTGGCCCGGAACACACCCTTCTTGGCAAGGGGAAGGATTCTACCCACCACTCCCTGCTGCTGGGTTCTCCCCCTGCAGCTCAGTCTCCCCAGCCACAGGCTCTCGGGGCTGCCCGGCTGGGGCGCACAGTGCTGAGCGTTTGCTGCTGCGGCCTGGCTGGCGGGCCCTGAGGGGCGCGGGGTCGCGGGCTAGCCTGCAGGGCTTTGTGCCGCTTGCTCCCGGGTGTGCGCAAGGCGCAGAGCATCCAAATTGACACCATATGTTTTCCTATTAGATGCTTCGCGGTCGAATTCTAGGCGCATAATCATCGCCACTGGGCGAGAGAGCCAGCCATCCCTAGGGAAGGGACACAATGATTGAGGCTTAACCTCTGTAGGGGAACTTAGAGAGCAGCGCTTTCTCGCTGCCATTTCGATGCTGGCAGAAGCGACTTGGTCCTGGCATCTCCTTGGCGAGCACCCGCCCTTGGTCCCTGCGGAGGTGGTGGGCACTTTATTTATTTATTTATTTATTTATTTATTTGCATTGAGAGGAGAAAGAGGAAAGTCTAGGATTAGGTGGCCTCACATGCCTTGGCATTCATAGATTGGAAATTGCCCAGGCTGTGTGAAGTTTGGAAAGTCTTTGTGGTCTCTTTCTGGGATAGCATTTCTTTCTGGGAAGGCTTTCTTTGCCCAAAGGGGAGGGCCTGTAGCTGGGGGTAAGGGGAAGGCAGATGGGTCCTGCTAAGCAAAGGAAGGCATTAAAGGGAACTTGGGAGAAACCAGAAGCACCGACTAGGCCTTGCTGTGTTGGAGAAGCAATGTCCCCTCGGTGCCCCTGCTCGTGCTGGGCCCTCCCAGAGCCCAGATCCCCCAAACGCCTGTCACTTCTCATCGAGTTTAGGCTCCAGCCTCCCCCCTCAACGAGGGCCCTCTCACCCCCCGAGCCTTTGGCCACCCTGAAAATGTGGCTCCCCTCGAAGGAGAAAGGAGTGCAGTTCAGTCTCATCTGAGTGATCTACAAATGGGGACAGAAAGGGTCGTTTTATCACAGTCCCGTTTGTCGTGACGATGCAATTTCCTGGAGCGGAGCACTGTCACAAAGTGACAAGGCTGCCACAAGCGCCCCAACTGATCTTTTCAATTAGCCTTCCATGCATGATCTGGAGCGACTTCCGCCTATTTCCAGAAATTAAGCTCAAACTTGACGTGCAGCTAGTTTTATTTTAAAGACAAATGTCAGAGAGGCTCATCATATTTTCCCCCCTCTTCTATATTTGGAGCTTATTTATTGCTAAGAAGCTCAGGCTCCTGGAGTCAATTTATCAGAGGCTCCAAAGAGAAGAGAGGAGAGGAGAGGCGAGCAGGGAGCCACATCTTCTCCTGGAAGCGCTGCTCTCTAGAGTCGGGGCTGCAGGTTGGAGATTTTTAAGGAAGTGAAAATTGTCAGTTGGCTTTATTTGTGTGCCTGTGGTTTCTGGGGAGGGGGCAACAGAGAAGTGCTAACTTCTCCCTGTTCTCTAAGATTAGACAATGGGGTGAGGCTGTGAAATAACCGGATAAGGGAGGGATGGGGACACTGTGGTGTGGCCTTTTCCTTTTCTTTTTGCTTTTTGCTAATATCTGTCCTTGGCTGTGGGAAGGGCCGAGATTGGCAGTGGAAGTAAATCGAGCTGTGGCCGCTATGAGCAGACTCCAAGCTCTGGCCCCACTGCCCGCAGCAGCCAGACAACCTTGTGGTTGGAGTGGATTTGGGGCTCAGAGTCTCCTGACTGCAGTGGAGGTGTGGAAACCCAGGTTGGGTTCGTTAGTCACAGACTCGCTGTTCTGGTTCTGCTCTACTCCTTCCCCTTCTCTTCCCCATGTGTGTATTTTTTAACCCCGGTGCTTGCGCGGTGCCTTTGCCAGAGTTTGGAATGTGACGGCAGACGTTTCTGGACTCAAGCTTCCACGGGAGCGCTGCAGGGCTGTAGGATTTGCTCTCACAGTTCCAACAGCGCGAGAGCTTGGAGAGTCAGTGTGGGTTCTGCAGAACCACAGCTTGCCATGACATTCAGAAGGGATCTTTGAGAAGATATTTTTAGGGCTGATTGTTTGAATCTTGTGGGCTCAGAGCCTGGCTGGGGTGTTTACGGAGAGGGGCAGTGGGCTGCGGACACTGCTGGGGTGGTGACAATAGTGAGGTGCGTGTGTTCTTGCTCCTTGGCATGTGTCTGCCTGCCTGGTGCTTCTGCAGTCGGGTGGGCAAGGGCATGACTGTTTTTGGGGTTGGGCTGCCCTATGTCCCACTTGGCTACGTGGTCCTGTAGTCGTTTATGATCGATAGCAGGGACCTGATCACAGACGTTGGCAGGGGTTGGCAGGGAACTGAGGATGCATTGTGGTTGTTTTCTCCTCCTCCTCCTCCTGTTCTTCCTCCTCTTCTTTACTCTTCCTCCTGTCTCTTCTCTCTCTCCTCTCCTCTCCTCTCTTTTCCTCTCCTCTCCTCTGCCTTTCTTCAGGTCACAGCGGAGTGAATCAGCTCGGTGGTGTCTTTGTCAACGGGCGGCCACTGCCGGACTCCACCCGGCAGAAGATCGTAGAGCTAGCGCACAGCGGGGCCCGGCCGTGCGACATTTCCCGAATTCTGCAGGTGATCCTCCCGGCGCCGCCCCACTCGCCGCCCCCGCGGCCCTCCACTTCCAACGCCCTCTCTTCATTTCTTATTGCAAATGCTGCTAATTATGGACCCCCCACCCTCACCCACCCACCTCAGTCCCCACCCCACTCCCCTGTCTTCCCGCTTTCCCCTCTCCCTCCGCCATCCTTCCCTGTCTCTTTCAACCTGGGTCAGTCACATAACACATCTGCTCCAGAAAAAAAAAAATGTGTGTGAATTAAAGAAAAAACACCTCTCTTTTTTCTTTGGTAAAAATATTTATGTTTTTAAATTTACTTTAGTTTATGTACTACAATGAGCTGAGTTTTACAAATTCGGCATAATTTCATTCCTTTCTCTCTCATCTCACGCCTCCCTCAGGTTTTAAGATGTTGGTTTGCATTCTACATATTCATGAAGAATATATATGGATTTTAAAATACAAATGCTATTTACCTCCCTCCATAACTCACATTTACTTAATTGGGTATATTTTTAAAGGAAAAATAAGATTAAATTTAGTTTATTTCCCCTTTTTGTTCATTAAAACCTGGCACCACTTTAAACAAGGTCAGCACACGCAAAAACCTCTGACTTCGTTTTGATGCATCTTCAGGCAGTGTTTGAGAAAACAGTTTTTTAATAAAAAACTTTTAAATTAGTTTTTTAAGTTCAAACTGTTTGAAAGTATCACCATATTTGTAGTTTTTAGGGCTACAAGTGTAATTTTAAGAAAAAAGCTCTCTACAGTAAGTTCTCGTACCATTGAAGGTATATTTTTGTGTTATAGACCCATGCAGATGCAAAAGTCCAAGTGCTGGACAATCAAAACGTAAGCTTGTCATTGTTTAATGCATACTTAAACAATTTTATTTTTGTCTTGAAATTATTAATAATGTGGTTTTCTGTCCACTTCCCCTATGCAGGTGTCCAACGGATGTGTGAGTAAAATTCTGGGCAGGTATTACGAGACTGGCTCCATCAGACCCAGGGCAATCGGTGGTAGTAAACCGAGAGTAGCGACTCCAGAAGTTGTAAGCAAAATAGCCCAGTATAAGCGGGAGTGTCCGTCCATCTTTGCTTGGGAAATCCGAGACAGATTACTGTCCGAGGGGGTCTGTACCAACGATAATATACCAAGTGTAAGTTCACTGAGAACATCCCCCTCCCTGCCCTCCGCTCCGCTCTCCCCTCTTCCCTCTTCACCTGGTCTTTCTCCACCTCCTTCCACTCTCGTCCTTACCACCGCCTGTCTCTTATCTCCTCCCCGCTCCACGTTTGTCTCCTTACCTGGGGCTGTTGAAAGGAGCATCCAAACCTTTTCTTGACTTTCTGGGAAATGGGAGTCAAGTGTGGGGAGTTGGTCACTTCTTTTGCACGCTGCAAAGCAGGGGGCTGAGGCACCTGGGGAAAGTCATGTGCATCAAGAAGGAAAATGAAAATGAAAATTAGATTCTAAACCTCCTCCAAATCCACCTGCCTGAACCTTCTTCAGGCGTCAAACATCTATCTCAGCTCTAATATAAAACAAAGTGAAAAAAAGCTCTAAACCAAGTCTAAAATTGTTTGGAAATCTTTTAAGAAAGCAAAGCAGCCATATGAGTTAGGTCACCAGAGACACTGAGCAAGTCAAGGACCCCTTCCCCGACCCCAGTTCTCACCCAGCTCAGTTTCCATATCTAATGTGATGGCTGTCATTCTGGCCACCATGTCCCTGCAAATCTACCTACACTGTCCCAGGATGGCTGGGAGGTTTTTTTTGGGGTTTTTTTTTTTAATGTGCTAAGGGTTTTTCTTTAAGGGGGTGGGCGTGCTGAGATGGGGATATAAGGCAAGGAGACCTTGTCTTCAGGAGGCACTACCATTTGGTTTGATTTTGGTTTGATTTGCAGGTATCATCAATAAACAGAGTTCTTCGCAACCTGGCTAGCGAAAAGCAACAGATGGGTGCAGACGGCATGTACGACAAACTAAGGATGTTGAACGGGCAGACCGGAAGCTGGGGCACCCGCCCGGGTTGGTATCCGGGGACTTCAGTGCCAGGGCAACCTACCCAAGGTAAAACCCCAAGCACCATCACCTAAACTCTCTGTGTATGCAGCCCATTTCCTTCTCCCCCAGCCTTTCTCTCTCCAGGCCTCTTCTTGGAGAATGTAGTGGGGAGACTCTTCAAAGGCTTGGGACACATTGGCTTGCCCTGTATGCAGATGGTGTTTATTGAACTATCTGGTCGGCCTGGGAACGTATGGGCTGTGTATGTCAGGAGTAGTGGTTGGTGTGTGTGTGCATGTGTGTTATGGGCAGGAGTGTGTGTGTGTGTGTGTGTGTGTGTGAACTAGCGGCATGGTTCCCTATTCAAGTTTTCCATTAAAATGCACGGAGAGACCCTTTGCTTAGAAGTGTGACAAGTTAACACTGACAGACTGTGAGGTAAACATAATTGTATCAGTTTGCTTTTTGTCATAATTGACAAATTATGTGACTGTGAATAGGGTGCATATAAGAGAGGGTGAGCAAGAGAGATGTTGGGTCGAGGGTGGGGCAGGATGTTGAGAGGATAGGGCAGGGGGAGTGGTGGTCTCCCAAATAAAACACCCGCCCCCACCTCCCTCCCCATCCTTCTGGGCCCCCGAGTTCTCACTCTCTGTGGGTGACAACTGCTTAGAAGGGTGGAGTGACAACACTGTGAGCCAGACTTCGGGGTGCCTTGGGGCTGGGAGGAGAGACAGGATCTGGCCCCTTCCAACATCTGTGAGAAGGGATGGGGGAAGAGGAGCAGGTAGGGGTGGGGTGGGGCGCTTGGGTTTCCCCTCCCCTGCACACACCGAGGTAGCTTGGTGAAGAATAGGAAACAGTTTACCCGGAAGATTAATCGGTATTTGTTGTCCTCGTGACAAGGAGATAATATGCGGGATAATGGGACGTGGCGTCTCACTCCCCGGAGCACGACGAAGCCTGGGGGCTCCGGGCAGCAGGGCGGGGGGCGTGGGCAACGGCGCAGGGATGCTGACGGGGCTGCCCGCGCGTCCGTGAGCTCTCGGATCTGCTCTGGGTGCCCCGGGCCTTGGACTGGAGAAGGGAAAATCGGTAACAGTATGCGAAATATCTGGTACAAAGGATGCTTCTGTCATTCGCAAGAATTTGTTATGGGAACAATCCTGTCGCTCTGTAATTGCTCATTAGAGAACGTTTTGTTTCTCATTAAGGCGACATGAATAAGCGTCTAGTTGAAGGAGACAGCTGTAGAAATGTTCCACAAGAGACCTCTGGACACGATTCGGCACCAATTGCCAATTAGACATGTCAGTTTTAAGAGCAGAAAACAATATAGGACGGACACTGGGAAGATAGGGAGCAAAGCGCTTGCTCTGGGATTCCCAGCGTGGCCTCTCGGCCCGGGGCCGCCGAGGCCTCCTGATGCACCGGACCCCGGCTCCCCTGGGCGACGCTGCCCGCGGGATCGCCCAGTTGCTCTGAACCCGCAGTCTCCCGCCGCGCGCAGCAGGCGCACTGGAGGAGGCGTTGCCCCCAAGCGGGCTGCAGGCCCAGGCCCATTGTGGCCTCTGGTGAGAACGAGGGAGTGACACGGTTGAGTGTAGACCACCACGCCCTCACCTGACCTTTGAAACTGGGGTTTCCACATGCACACACTGGACACACCCAAGTGAAAAGGCACATCGCACTTGCTTAGTGCCTGCCCCCCAGGCCCACAGCAATCTATGGCCCCGGTGACCACTCCTCTGCCTAGTCTAGACGACTGGGTCCGAGAAGTCTTGGAGAGGCGAAGGGCACAGTGGCCGGGCCTGGGAAAGCAGAGCCCCAAGTTTCCACACCCTAGCCCCCCTCAGCTGGAGGACTGGCTCCCGGTAACTTGGGGCCAAAATCATGGACACCCCCTCCTGCTTCCCAGAACCCCGACAGGAGCGGAGGGATGCAGCTTTGCTAGCCCCACCGCTTCCACCAGAGGCGGCACTGATTAGGGCAGCGTTCTGCTGAGCGGAGCTTGAGGGCAGGAAGCGAGAGCCTAACTCCAGGGACCTGGTGGTGTTGATCGGGGCGGGAGGTGGCGCTCGTTCAGGAGCTTTGAACTTTTGGCGGGGAGTTGCTAGAGAATTTGCCACACCAACTGCCAATCCCCGCTCCGCTCCCGGAAAGAAAAAAAAAATCCACTCCTGTGCAGCAGCGTATCCGGGAGCGGACTGCAGCCCGGCTGCGTGGGGAGCACGCGTCTCGCGCACCGAGTCCCGGGCGTGGGGACCGTGGGGCGCTGGTGGCCAGCTTGGGCCCACGGGCCGAGCCGGGGAATCCTCAGAACTTTAGGCGTTAAGAAGGACCCCGTGCCTCCCTTTCCTGGGCCGGGAAGCCGTTTGGGGGGGGGGGGGGCTTTAAAGAGTCCATTACCCCGAAAGCATAAGGCGAGGTTAGGTCTCAGAGGGAGACAAATATGGTTTCCATCTGATCAACGCCACGCGGCGGCGAATAAAGTGGTGAGGACGTGGGCTGACAACAAGAGACAACTCTATCCGGCCCCCGTTCTCCAGCGATTTGGTGTTTTCAGGGATCGCGCAGACACTTTTTCTTATCTCCTCCCCTCACCCCCACCCCCCGTAATACCCCGGCCCTCTATAGGATTTAGTCCGTCTCTTTTTCAACAGATGCTACAATGTTTTGATCCGTGCTCCCGAGCTGAAAAGGTGCCGCAACCGGGTTGCTATCTTTTCTTGCTTGTTTTCCGCCTCACTGATTAAGACCCTAAGAAACTAAGGAATGATTTTATTTCCCAGCGTCCTTTTTTTTTTTTTCTTTCTCTCTCTCTCTCTCTTCTCCTTCTTCCAGGAAACAAATCCTATCCCCAGCGTCAGATGGTCCTGGGGCTGGGATAAAGGGAGGCGCTTTCACTCGCCTTCTCACGGATTAGGCTGGAAGGTGGACGGCGCCCATTGAAGGCCCCTTCTTTGCGCTCCGAGGGGGCCCTTTTAAAGAAGATATCTTAATTGTCTGCCACTTACATTTATCACGTGGGGAATTCGAGATCCAACCTCTAGTTTTATTTTGTTAAAAGCTTTAAGAGTGGAAGGTAAATCCACTAAAGGAAAAAAGGAGGGGGCAATCTAAGAGTGACCTCTACGTCACCGCCTGGCTACTAACAGTCGCTACTTTGAAAGTAATTAATAATAATAATAATTAATAATAATAAAATCTCAGTGCTGCACGCTGACTCTGGGGAGGGGGGTCCCGGTTTCTCCTGACCTGCTTCTGATTCCACTCTCCCCCAAAGAAATTTAAAGCGGAGCTCTCCTCATCTCCGTGGACTTTCCTCCCCTTAAATGTCAGTTCTCAAGTCAGCTCTGCGCCTGCATTGGGGTGTGTGAGTGTGAGTGTGAGTGTGAGTGTGCAGGGGGAGGGGGAAGGGGAGGAAGGAAAGGAGAAGGAAAGCATGGGCAAATGTCCATGTTTTAAAATTAGGAAGATGTTCAGAGAAGCAAAGGAGAGCGGAGAATGCTGCCTGTGGCGGTCTTCTGAAGGAGACCCGGGCAGCTTTGTTTAATTGGCAAGATCGAATGTGCCAGAGTAGATACCGGGGTGGGGCTTGCTGGAAGGCATGACTGACCACCCCGGTGAGATGGGATTGTGGTCTCCTCAGTGCCCTGTCCCTAGAGGTCCGATGATCCCAGATTTTTGCTTGTGTTTCCTTAAAGCAACAACCTAGGAACCTGTCTTATTGGCCAAAAAGGACTATTTCTAAAGTCTTCCTCATTCACCAAATCCAAAAATAAGGGCGGCTCTTCATTTCTTTTCCTGAAAAACGCTCTGCAAAGTCACCCGGAAACTTGGGGCAGTAAATTAGTGCAGACTTGTGCCGGCACACGTGAGTGCGTCCAGCGTCTCCCCTGAGCCCTCTGACCCCCACCTTTCTGAGCTAGCACAAGACCACCCAAAGGAAAGCCTCAGCCTATGTTTTAATATTGTCTTTCCCCCTTAGCTTCCTTTCCCTCTTTCTTTCCTCTTATTCCAGCCTCCTGCCTCTTTTTCCTCTCAGCACTCTTTTCTGTCTTTATGATATATCTTCCTGGCCTCTCTCTCTTTGTAGCTCTCTCTCTTCCTCCATCTTCCTCCCCTCTTCACTCCTCCCCGCCCCCAACCAGGGCCTCATCTTCCCTCCCTGCTTCCTCCCTCACCCCCCAGTCCTGGTCTCCATCCTTCCTGACTGCTACACCTTCACCCCCCATGCCTGCTCCTCCCCATCCACCCTCCCTGCCTCCCCCACCCCCTGCCCTGGCCCCCTATCCACCCTCTATCCCCCCAGCCAAGCGCCCTAAATAGCACTGAGGCGCCCGCTCTTCGGACAGTGATTAATGATAGCAGAGCAGAGGGGTTAACACACTTCACTGAAAAGTCTGTTGACTGGGCTTCTTGTAACACAATGTGGCCCGCTGCACGCCTCAAGAGAATCCTTTTGTTGTCCGCGCTCATTGTGGCCTCAAAATTCTGCCCACGAAAGTTTGCCAACGCTCCTGCCCCAGGAGTTTAATAGTTTCCCTTACTCGCGGGGCATTGTGCGGCGCTCAAAAGCAGCCCCTTGCTATTCAAGTGTTGGTGGTCATCTCAATAGATCTCCAAGGGCCCATATGGTGGCCAGTGCCGATGAATCCGCCTATTTAAATGGGGGAGAAAGTTGGGGTTTTAAAACATTTCAAAGTTCCTGAAAAGATCCCACTAGATCCTGTCACAATTCCCTGAACTCTTTGAAGACGATGCCTATTGTCTCCTGGTTATAAATGATATTCCTGGCTAAGTTGATTCCCACCAAGGCCCCCTAGAGGCCCCTCCCCCACACTGGCCAAGTTTCTAGGATGGGGGTCAGCCCCTATTGGTATCTCCGGGGGCCTCAGGACCCAAGACCCAGGACCCAGCTTGCAGGCTCAGTCAGGTCTGAGTGCTTTCCTTCAGGCAGGCTGCGGCTTCGTGAGCAAGGCACAAGACAAGAGACAGCTAGCCCAAGGACACATCTTGCCCTATAAGCAACAAGGGAAAACAATAAAACTTTCCCTGTTTAATGATAGAAATTACATTAAAAGTGGTGGAAATGCCCTAATTAAAAATGTACCACTTAAATGATATGCCAAGGATTCAGCTGCAGCATAGCATATTTAGCTAGTTAGTGAACTCTCTACTATTTCTTTTTTAAAATTACATGTTAAAAATTTAAAAGAAATCTTACTTTTTTCTGGTGCAACACATTACAAAGAATGGACAGTCCTTTTATCTAAATATAAAATTCGATTTTCAGCAATTATAGCCTGTTCTTGGTGATGATATAATTACAGCTGTGCTCGTAATAGGTGTCAAGGCAAAGCGCACTCATACAATAGTTGAATAAAACTGCAGAACAATGCAAGCACTTCTAAATTCACAACCTTTAAAATGAAATTGACTGTGCAGAATTAAAATAAAAACTAGATAAATATTTTTTAAAAAAGATTACAAGCTTGGTTTGGTTTCTTAATAGCATTTTCTACAAACCTATCAACATCTAATTGATTAGATAGGAATTACTGATAATAGATCATCTGAAACCTTGCACATCACTCTTCTATTTTCCCAACACAGCCATAGGTAAATAAATTCTGTAGGGAAAGGGGACTGGTTGAGGGGACTGGTTGACTCTGGGGAGTCAAGGTTCATTATGAACGATCATTTTAACTGGAAACATCAGCACTTACATTGTCATTTGAAGAAATACTACTCTATACATGTCTCTAATGCATGGTTGGCTCCTCTTGATAAAAACAGAAAGTAAAAAAAATGGTGGTCAGGTAATGTTTGTCGCAGAGGCCTTTTATTAAAAGAAGACTGACAGTTACCTTGGGAATGTTTCTGTAAGGCTGTGAATATACAGCTCTTGGAGTTCATGGCTCTACCAGACCCCTTTGGAGGCCCCAAGTTCCTCCAGATCTCTCCTACTGTCCTATTCTTTTTGTTCCAGATGGCTGCCAACAACAGGAAGGAGGGGGAGAGAATACCAACTCCATCAGTTCCAACGGAGAAGATTCCGATGAGGCCCAAATGCGACTTCAGCTGAAGCGGAAGCTGCAAAGAAATAGAACATCCTTTACCCAAGAGCAAATCGAAGCCCTGGAGAAAGGTGATGGAGTTTTTCAAAGTAGAGAAGCAGTAAATCAAAGTAAATGCCACATCTTCAGCACAAAGAGCTAAATTTAGCCAGGGCCCTTTGCATAGAGGACTGAAAAGATTTCCTTTTTCTTTCTGTCTCTTTATTTTTTCTGGGCATCTCTTCAGTGCGTGTGTGTGTGTTTTCTTTCTTCTTTTCATGTACCAGTAATTCAAAGACTAAAAGTCTGACTTCTCATAAAGAAACAATGATGATTTGGCTAATTCAGGCCACACAAGCGTCCTTGAATGAATGTCATTCCACAGAAAATTTAACTTGGTTCTGGTGGAATAGATCTTCCAATTACAGTCAATGCTAACAGTAGTAGCATTAAAAAAAAAAGATTTTATTTGTTATTTTTGGAGAGAGGGGAAGGAAGGGAGAAAGAGAGGGAGAGAAACGACTGGTTGCCTCTTGCAGGCCCCAGCCAGAGACCTGGCCTGCAATCCAGCCATGTGTCCCAGCTGCAAATTGAACTGGTGACCTTTGGATTTGTGGCACTACACCCAGCCCACTGAGCCACACCAGGCAGGGCAATGGTAGTAGCATTTTAAAGGGAATTGGTTTCTGAAGGTGCTAGAAGTGGGGAGGTGGGAACCAGCTTGATCCAGGGCGTGGCTGACGTATTATGTGTAGTTCTGACACAACACAGAAAACTCAACTCACTCTTCCAGAGTTTGAGAGAACCCACTATCCAGATGTGTTTGCCCGAGAAAGACTAGCGGCCAAAATAGACCTACCTGAAGCAAGAATACAGGTACGCAGTTTCCATGTGGTTTCACGCTTTGTGATTCCAACCATTTGCCTTCCCTAGGGATAAAGGTGCTTCTAATAACTGTCATTTGCTTAAATACTTTGCCACCATGGGGTGGAAGGGTGGGGAGCACAGTGGAAGGGCCAGAGGTGGGGCTGAGCTGGGAGGAGGCACAGGGCTAACCTGTTCTGTCCTGTTTCCAGGTATGGTTTTCTAATCGAAGGGCCAAGTGGAGAAGAGAAGAAAAACTGAGGAATCAGAGGAGACAGGCCAGCAACACACCTAGTCATATTCCTATCAGCAGTAGTTTCAGCACCAGTGTCTACCAACCAATCCCACAACCCACCACGCCTGGTAACTGGAAGTGTTCATGCTTCTAAGACATGTGTTGCAACCTGTTTGCCCTTGGCTCTGACTCTCACCACGACTGTTGGTCATGTGTCTTTCCCTGCAGTTTCCTCCTTCACCTCTGGCTCCATGTTGGGCCGAACAGACACAGCCCTCACCAACACGTACAGCGCTCTGCCACCCATGCCCAGCTTCACCATGGCGAACAACCTGCCTATGCAAGTAAGTGAGGCCCGCAGCTGCCTGCTTAGTGGGACAGGTGTGGAGGGTGGGGGCGGGGCCTGCAGGCCTCCTTGGCCAGGCATGCCCCCTTGGGAGCCTTTCTCATTACAGTATTTGGTTTGACTAGTCTAGCCTGAGGTGAGAACAGTCAATGCAGTGTTTTAGTTGATTGATTGATTGATTGATTAATTGATTCATGCCCTTCAGAAAATAAAAACTGGTCTAATTAATCTGCCTTTTGCTCACAGAGCATGTTAGCTTGATAATGGTGGGTGGGAATGGGACATGTTTTGGGTATCAATAAAACTTGTACTGGAAAAGGGAAATAATGCTGGTATGCTACCAGGTAGGAAGGGATTAGCAATAATGCTGGTATGCTACCAGGTAGGAAGGGTTTATATTAATGTGTTCTTATTAATAGATATACATTTGGGCCCTGGCTAGTGTAGCTCAGTGGATTGAGCACAGGCCTGTGAACCAAAGGGTTGCTGGTTTGATTCCCAGTCAGGGCACATGCCTGGGTTGCGGGCCAGGTAGCCAGTAGGGGGCATGTGAGAGGCAACCACATATTGATGTTTCTAAAACTAAAAAAAAAGAGAAAAATGTATATACATTTGGACATTATTTACGGTATACGTAATAAACTGGAGGGCAAGGTAGAGTCGATCAGAAATGAGATTTATATTTGCACAGTGAGATACACTTAATGTAGAGAAACAGCTAGTTTTATTTCTACATCTTACAGTGGGAAAAAAAAGAAATAGAAAGTATTTGCTAGAAATTCAGTGTGTCTTTGCCGTGAACTATGCGATGAGTTTGTGGCACTCCGAACTGCCTGGGTTGATGTTCTTCACTTGGTATAACAGCCTGCCCCTGCCCTCAATTCTGCCCCAAATATTTATCAGCCCCTACACATGCTAGGCCCTGCACCAGGTTAGCCCTTTACGGTGGAAGTTGTCTAATGCAGGTGGGGTGTACTAGATCTTTGGAGCTGGATGGATTCTCGATGGTGGGGAGGGATTGGGGAGGGGGTGGGGATTTGTCCTCTGATGGGCCTGCTGCAGTGAGTTGCCCAGGACTCCCCTTTGTGCAGCAATTAGAGACTCCGGGTGGTGTCAGACTGGCCAGCGCCAGCCACTGCTGGGAACCGTTCTGTGGTTGCACAGCGTGTTTGTTCTCCACTGAACATCTTCTGCTGGATTTCTAATTCAAATAACAGCAAAAATAAATGTTTCGCAGTCGTCTTCAAACTAATGTAGGAGCAGCTAGATAAGCAACTTCAGAGGATGATTCCCCTGTTTATTTTTATTGCACCTGGATATTATTGGCCGTCGTGCAATTAATGCAAATTAAGGGATTGACAGCCCGTGAGTTGAGGTTGCTACCAACTGCCTCGGAATTTTCTAGAAGTCAGATTGCCTAGAGGAAGTGACTTCAGGAATTAGAAACAAATGCAAACTGAAATTCTGGCAGCGCCCTCCAGGCCTGCTTGCCTTTTTGAACCTGGTAGCAGTCAATCCTCAGACTTGGACAAGGCCAGTGAGTGTCTTGTTTGGTGTCTAACTGGTAGCAACATCTAGGTCTCTGTGAAGGTAACCAAACACGTTTACGAGAAAACAGCCAGAGACAAACAGATGCTGCTTTTCTGTGGAGCTGTTTCCACATACAGATGGGTACGGGTCCATAGATTTGACTGACTTTAAAAATTTACACAACGTAGACGATTCACAATACACGTGCATTCATAAAGCATAAAGAAAATAAAAATCACCAATGATTCTGTTCAGACAAAATTCCTCTTTGAATTTTGGAGTGAGCGTGGGGGTGTTGGTGTGTGTGGGGACCTAGTCTGTCCGTCCGTCAGTTCATCCTGTTCACCCAAATCTTTAACCGTTTTACAAAGAGTGGGGGTGTCCGCCTCCGGATCTTCTCTCACGTGTCACTGACCCTGTCTGAGCCGGTGCATGTGGGAATGTTAAATGTCTGTGTGGTCTGCAGAGCGGAGTGGTGCTATCATCTGCCTGGTTCCTGACATCGTGCGTCTGTTACTGCAGTCCAGGGTTTCTGCCCTGGCATAGCCCCATGAGAGCTCACGCGGGGTTTTCTCCCAGCTCTATGTATTTCTTTCTTAATGAGGAGGAAGGTTTATCCCCTCTACACCATCATGGCACACATGTAGAGGATAGTGACAAAATTTTAAAGATAAAACCCCACCTGGGCTTGTGGGGGGGGGGGCTGTAAGGAAGTCACAGGTGATTCTCAGGATGGGGATGAGCATTTACGACACTTGTGACCACTTTAACCTGAGATCATTACTGATCTGCCTCTTTCAAAGAATCTATTTCCATGAGTCCAACAATGAGAGGCTTCCAAAATCCCTAAACCAAGCTTTGCACGGAACTCCTCCCTCTGCCCACTGCTCTCCACCTCAAAGCTTGAGATGTGGGATTGGGCGGGGGTGGAGAAGGGTGGGGTCACTGGATTCCCGAAGACTGGATTTACAGAAGGGACATGTTTTAATGAAAGTCCTCCTGCTATACAGCTTCTCTAAAGATGCCAGCAGCTATCCAAAATGCAAATGGACAAAAATACTATCAATTTGATGGGTAGTGTAAACTGCCTACCTGGACAGTTGTCTGATGTTGTAGTACTTTTAAAAGTTTGGGGTGTAGGCAGCTTAACTCTAGCAGTGGCCAATGGAAGGACTGGTTGGGGGCCTGATATGAGAGTTATTATATGGAATTCCAATACTTTTTAAAAAAATATATTATTTGATTGTTTAGTCCCCTGGCCAGCAACCCAGGCATGTGCCCTGACTGGGAATTGAACCCGTGACTCTTGGGTTTGTGGGAAGCCACCCAACCCGCTGAACCACACCAGTCAGGACTGGAATTCCCATACTTTCCATGAGGACGCCTCTAATGATCAAGCTTGTTGGCAGAGGTCCTGGGGAGGAGGGCGCCTGGGGATGTGGCTGTGTCATGTGTTTCTTTGTAACCACAGGTTTGCCTTTCTCCTCTCAGCCCCCAGTCCCCAGCCAGACCTCCTCGTACTCCTGCATGCTGCCGACCAGCCCTTCGGTGAACGGGCGGAGTTACGACACCTACACCCCCCCACATATGCAGACACACATGAACAGTCAGCCAATGGGCACCTCGGGCACCACTTCCACAGGTGAGCTGCTGCTCTCCACAGGCTGCGCAGAGGTGGCCTTCAGAGCTTCTTTGGACAGGTGATCTCCCTTCACTCAAAGTTAACCTAAAACAAAACAAAACAGAACAACCCTCCACCCAAACCCCACCTCCTGGCCTTGTGTGATGGTGTGTTTAACTCTCTGTGTCTCGCTTCTTTGGGGAAAACTGATTGCAAAGGGACATTCAGCCAAGCTGGTTGGTAACTTGACACCACACACACAGCTGAGTTGTTCTTCCTGAATTTGGTCACAGAAGGTGTATGTAAAGGCAAGGCCTGAGAGTGACGTTTCTGAGGGGGCGGTATTAGCCACACGTCCTAGTGAGAGCTCTGCGAGCTGCACGGTGGCAGCGAGCCCTCGCCGGAAGACTTCTCGCCCTGGCACGGCCTGCGCTGCTCTCGTTGCGACTGAAGAAGAGCTGTCATTGGTTTTCCAGAGGGAGTTTTATCCCTAAAGTTGCAAACGTACAGACAAATGGAGCTTTTTTCCTTTCGTTTTGCACAGGAGACTCGGGATTCGATAGTGGTATGTGTAAGAAATGTTTTCTGGTTTCTGAAGGTGTTACTTTTGTTTGTAACACTTGAAAATATATTTTTTAAAAAATATGGTTAAAATGTTAGAAAGCATTCGAGTTAATTTTTTTAGCATGTGCGTTCACACTCCATGCCTGTCTCTTGAAGGGAATGTCTACATGGCTATTTTTTTCATCCACTTCTAGGACTCATTTCCCCTGGCGTGTCAGTTCCAGTTCAAGTTCCTGGAAGTGAACCTGATATGTCTCAATACTGGCCAAGATTACAGTAGAAAAAAAAAAAAAGAGAGAGTGAGAGAGATAGAAAGAGAGAAAGAATATATTGTGTTAATTCATTCAGTGACTAAGTGGACGCCACAGCTGGGCATTCAGGAGGGAGAGGCAATGGCCGTTCGACGCACTTCGGGTCTGCGACTGTGTCCCGTGTTGCACCGCTGGGGGACGGACTTGAAACAAGGACCTTTGTATACGGAAGGCACGATATCGGTTGGAACAAATCTTCATTTTGGTATCCAAACTTTTATTCATTTTGGTGTATTATTTGTAAATGGGCATTTGTATGTTATAAAGAAAAAAGAACAATGTAGACTGGATGGATGTCTGATCTCTGTTGGTCATGAAGTTGTTTTTTAAAAAAGGAAACCATGATCAACAAGCTTCGCCATGAATTTAAGAGTTTTATCGAGAAATATCGAGTACTCCTACCCATCTGTTCATAGTTTATGGACTGAATGAGGTTCCAAGTTTGTATCGTTCCTTTGCATATAATTAAACCTGGAACAACATGCACTAGATTTATGTAAGAAATATCTGTTGGTTTTCCAAAGGTTGTTAACAGATGAAGTTTATGTGCAAAAAAGGGTAAGATATAAATTGAAGGAAGAAAAACGTTGATAGCTAAAAGGTAGAGTGTGTCTTCGATATAATCCAATTTGTTTTATGTCAAAATGTAAGTATTTGTCTTCCCTAGAAATCCTCAGAATGATTTCTATAATAAAGTTAATTTCATTTATATTTGACAAGAATACTCTATAGATGTTTTATACACATTTTCATGCAATCATTACATTTCTTTTTTGGCCAGCAAAAGTTAATTGTTCTTAGATATAGTTGTATTACTGTTCACAGTCCAATCATTTTGTGCATCTAGAATTCATTTCTAATCAATTAAAAGTGCTTGCAAGAGTTTTAAACTTAAGTGTTTTGAAGTTGTTCACAACTACATATCAAAATTAACCATTGTTGATTGTAAAAACCATGCCAAAGCCTTTGTATTTCCTTTATTATACTATTTTCTTTTAAACCTTATAGTGTGGTGTTACAAATTTTGTTTCCTTGTTAGACTAACATTCTGAACCAATGGTTATGTTCAGGCATACCCTACTTTAAATCTTGATGACTCTTAAAGACATGATTCTTAGAGACATCATACACTGGAAATGGGTTAGAAAAAAATTCAGCTTGAAGCTGCGTGTAGATCTGTGCCCATTAATACCCACAACGTACATACAAAATGGTAACATTTCCAAGCTAGCTGTTTCATTCAAAAGCTCAAAGTCTAGAAATAATTTAAAAAATGCAACAAGCTATTAACTAGGAATTGTCTTTTGAATTAGGGCTGGCATTTTCCATCTGGGCAGATTTCCATTGTCAGTCTATTTCAACAGTGATTTCACTGAAGTATATTCAAAAGTAGATTTCTTACACAAGACTCTCTGAAAGCTGTTGCCTTTCTCAAATAGGCCCTCTCCCTGTTCTGTCTCCCTCCCCTTTGCACAGAGGCATCATTTCCCATTGAACCACTACAGCTGTTCCCATTTGAATCTCGCTTTCTGTGTGGTTGTGGATGGTTGGAGGGTGGAGGGGGGATGTTGCATGTCAAGGAATAATGAGCACAGACACATCAACAGACAACAACAAAGCAGACTGTGACTGGCCGGTGGGAGTTAAAGGCCTTCAGTCATTGGCAGCTTAAGCCAAACATTCCCAAATCTATGAAGCAGAGCCCATTGTTGGTCAGTTGTTATTCGCAATGAAGCACAGATCTGATCATGTTTAAAGTGGCGGCACGCAGGGCAGGAATGCTTGAGCCCAAGCAAAAAGATGGGAAGAAATAAGCCTTTGTTGGGTGGGAAAGGCCTGTCTGAGACTTATTTCCGTCTGTTCTGTGCAACGGATAAGTCAATAATATTAAGTTTTCTTCTGCAAACTTCAGTCAAAGGCTGGGGGTTCTAGCAGTCTAGATTAAATGCCTGCACAGGCCAAAGCCCCTGGGACAAAGATGCACTTCCACTGAATTGTACTCTGGCTACTTTTTTTTTTTTTAACCCTGAAGGCAAATGATCAGAAATACAGAAATTAAATGGAGGCTTCGAAGAATAACCTTCTAGCTCCACATCTACTATTTTCTAGTTAAGGAATTACTTGTGAACAGATAAGTGTGATGCATCTCTCTGGCATGCTGTATGTTAATACTTTTATTCCACCAGAGTTGCTGAGCATTTACAGACACCTCCCTAAGTTGATTGTAGCTTTTATATGTGTGCATGTACTTTGACTCGATGTGAGCGTGCACTGCACGCTTGCACACTTCTGCAGCAGCGTGTGCATACATATGCACTGTTGGTATGATTGCTCATGGAGATGCTTCTATCTCCTGACATTTTGCAGCTTCCATACCCTGAGGGACCTATGCCCAGGGAACTGTCAGGGAAAGGCTATGTGTGGTGTGTGCTGTAGCTGCTGGCTGGCTTCTTCCCTGCAAGAAGGGGGATGGTTTCCAACTGGCTATGATTTGTGCCAGGGTCAAGCAATCAGGTCTGGCCCTCGGCTCTGTGCGCAGAGAGCACAGACTTTGGAGAACTGGGGCTGGCCCTTCGGGTGCAGGAGCTGGGCAGGGGAGAAGGGGAGTGTGTGGGAGCGCATGGTCTGTATGTGTGTGCACTTGGGCACGTATCCGTGTCCTCTGAGGGTCAGGATTTCCAGGGCGCAGTGGCATAGCCTGGCTTCGTCCGAAGAACTGGCTGCTCAGCTGCAGAAGCCCTCTGGTCCAGCAGCTTGGAACGGCTGCCTCGCCTTCTGCCCTCACCCTGGGGAGGTGAGCTGTCCTTCTGAATGAAGCTCCGGGTACTCTCCCAGGACAGCGTGGCAAGCAAGCTCTGTGTGGAAGCAGTGCCTGGCAGGTGGCCTTGGACTCCTTATGGAAATAATTTATTTTTGTTTATTTGCTGATAGGTGTATTTATGTATTTATCAATGGGGACTATGCAGGCATGCTTTGACGCCATCTTCCAGGATGGCGACCCGCTATTCGTGATGTCCTCCGAAGAAACGCAAGACTTACAGCCTATGGTTTTTCTCTAAGCTTGCCTGACTTAGGGAGACCAGGTGAACAGGACTGGAGATGCATGTCTGAGTAAGAAGCATTCAAATTGTTCTGAGTAAAAAAGTATTTTGACCTCAATGAATTTCCAGAACATTTTCCCTCCAAAGCTGTGCCTCCTAACTCGTAAGTGGTGACCTACTGGTTTTTCTTGACATCACCGAAGGGATCATCTCATCCTACTTTTTATCATAACTAGGTTCCTAAGCTACAGTAGTACTTTAAGATTCAGCTTTTCTCTCTCTCTTTTTTTTTTTTTTTGGTAAGTTTTTGTCATCTTAGGGTGGTGCCTATATTTTACTGCTTGTTTTTACCCTGGGCCTTAATCATAACAAGATATAAGAAGGCAGCTTTTCTTTTTTGTGTGTTTGGCACACCAAGAGCAAACACAAATTTTTCCCTTTTTTTTTTGTTTCTCAGGAATAAACCTCTCACTTGTTTCTTTTGTTTTGTTTTGTTTTGTGTCCGTTCTGAATAATTTCACTGCTCAGTTTTAAAGTTCAGAGTATAAGTACTTAGGGTTAGTGCTGCTTAAATTCGGCAACGTGGATGGTGAATATCTTTGGAAAGCATTAACATGTGTTAGGAATGACATTCCTAATGGACTTAAAAAATGAATAGGGGTCACCCCCCTTTTCCTTTTGTATGTGGATGCCTGTGTCTGATTCTTTAAAATTAAAAGATAGACAGGGAGTCAATTGCTGAGTGTTTTTTCCTTTTGAACTAGTTTTATTTTGTCTACCATTAGTAATCACGGATCCTGGAGGTGGAGATAAAAATACATGGAAGAGAGAAAAAGGAGAGTGGAAATTGGTGGCTCCTAAAAAGAAATTCCTAAGGTCCCCAAACCCCAGCACCTGAGCAGATTGCAGCAAAATATTTACCTCATTTTAAAAAGGGCAAGTCTAGTGTAAGGAATGAATACCATAAAGGGTTTTGAAGTTTTAGAAACATTTAAACGCTATAAGGACATTTCAAATAGTATGTTTGGCATTCTTATTTAAGTATTTATATCTTTGAGATAAGTTGATAATTAGAAAAAATCTGTTTATCGCGTATATATTTCATAATGTATCAAAATGGTCTATATACCTACAGTAGCATTATTGAAGGCCAATATTTTTATGTAGTAAGTTATTAACACATGGAGAATTGATAATGTTTCCAGAAGGAAGGGAAACACATGTTCTGAGTGGGTTTTTATGGGAAGAGAACAAAAATATACACCCCTCTTCAGTAGCTAGTTTTTGCAAAGCCTGCCTAGTAAATCAGAACAACAAAGCACTTGCATCTGATTTTTGGAAAAAAATCAGGTGCCATTACTGTTCAAAATGCACTTCTACTGAGTTTGAAAAGTTTCTTTTATATTTAAAATAAGTTGGGATCAAATATGCACATTTAATTTTTATAGTATTTATCTACTTGCAAAGCATCTATTAACTAGTAATTGGCTGTTAATTTTATAGACATGGGAGGCAGTAAATCAATGACCTATTAAGTATTTTTGACAAGCAATTTGCATATCTGATGACCTCACATTTTATTTTCACAGTCACATGTTATGTCATTGTTCTGTTGTGTGTTTGTTTAAATGAGTCACAACACAGTAAGAAAAAGGTGAGAGTTATTAAAATAACAACGTGACTAAAATACTCATTTGAATTTATTCAGATTGTTCATAATGCTTTTAAAAGATACAGCAAAGCTTTTGTGGAGTATCTGCACATTATTTATTATCTATGGGCTAAATTGATTTTTTTGAAGTTGCTTTACATTTTAAAAGCACCTCTGCTTAATATGAAAGCCCTTTAATTTTAACTGACAGATCAATTCTGAAACTTTATTTTGAAATGAAAATGGGGAAGAATTTGTGTCTCTCGAATTAAAAGAAGTGAAAAAAATAAACCAGACATTCTAAAAAAATAGAAGAAACCTGGTTTTTAGCACTAATGAAATAGTGGGTGACAAAATAGTTGTCTTTTTGATTTTGATCACAAAAAGTAAACTGGTAGTGACAGGATATGATGGAGAGATTTGACATCCTGGTGAATCACTGTCATTGATTCAATTATTCCAATTCTGAATAAAAGCTGTATACAGTATGTGTTTATGCTACAGTGGGTTTTTTTTTAAAGTGACTGACATTCATCATATTCGTTAGACAGTTTAAAAACCTAGTCTTTGTTTTCTACAATGTTGTCAAGAACAAATAAAGGATAATTTGTGGTATATTAAAAGCAAACTGCTTAAAATGCTAGTTATAACTGCTTCAAAATATTCTAACACATTTGCAAATGTATTTTGGAAATTCAGGTTCTCCTAACAGATGTTAAACAGATTTTTTAAAATTGAAACTTTTTACTTAAATGTACAAATTACTTAAAAAATATTTTGTTTAGTATTCGGCAGAAGCTTTGAGAATATGAAACTATAATGAAAAAACCAGTGTTTTATAGGAAAACTGGTTCAGTATGCTATAAACTCCAAAAGACATGATTACATTGTTATAAATGTGAACGCCTGACCACTGTTTATAATTAACAAAGGGTTTACCTGATACAACGCAAAGCTGAGTTAGCTTCAGTTTTCTACTTTGTCTCAAACCTATGTTCTGTAATCTCTCACCAAGCTTCAATACATGTTTTTCCCAGTATTCTAGCATTAATATAGCTGTCAGTTTGAATTTCAACCCTGAATTATGTGTGTTGACATAATTTCATAGTGCTGACTTCAATTGTTTAGGATTACTGAACAGAAGACCATCAACTTCTTTTTCTATGCTTTCTATCACTCAAGTTCTTTATATTTTTTAACTATTATAGCAAACTAATGATCTTTAATGGAGTCTTAATCCCAATATATTATTTTGTCTTCAGCAATTTAATAATAGGATGCATAAATGCACATTTATTTTATTAGTCTTCATATATCAGCAAACAAATTTTTCCATGTTTTAAAAACCTTAGCAATTTTGGTGGCAAGTGACTTTTTCAGAAATAAAGAGAAAATATGTTTTTCATACGCAATTTTGAATTTCCTAGTGCTTTATACACTACCCCTGTGGCATGCACTTTCCTATGAGCTAAGTGCTTCATATATGTGCATGGATGACCACTGGAAGGCACCTTGAATTTTTGACATTTAATTGCTTTTATTTAAAAATAAAATTATCTCATTCTCCTTAGATATAGCATAAAACAAATGTTAAAATGAAAGTATTTGTGCTGTAACTGTTTCTGTACAAAAATGTGGTTTAGAAAAATTAGGAATGGTGGCCTCATTTTGCAATCCTGTGTTTTTCAAGAACTGGAGGGTCAAATCGTTAAGAAAAATATTTACATAAGCCATTAGCAATCATAATTAGAGTGTCATAGAATTCTGCGTGCAACGGCTAAGGAGGAATCGCTAGAAGTCCAGGTGCTTCTTGCCTCCGGCCGTCATGCCACAGCCTGGGCCCGGCAGCTTGGCGGGTTCTGCCAGATCCTGTTTGCTTGAGCGGCTCACTGTGTCTGACAAGTCTGGAGGCAAATGCAGCCGCTGTGGCAGAAGAGTGCAGGAGAAGGAAAGAAAGAAAGAAAAAATTAATTTTGCTTTCACGAGCTCACTTCAGGATACAATATTATGCTCTGTTTGATCAGCATTTAGTCTTGCATATAAAATTCCTACGAAAACACTTCTTCAGACTGCAGCCCAATACAATCATCCTACTGCTCCTGGATCTCCCAGTTACAGCCGTTACAGAAACCGGTCCAGGACTCTCAGGGGGACATTTCCAGAGTCCAAACGTATTGGCCTTCTAATACCTAAACGTATTGACATTCTTCTTATTTAGGTAAAAAATAAAACCATGGAAATGCATAAATAAAAGCATGATAGAAAAAAACCACACAATAATGGCAGGGTTGTGTTTTGGCTTTGTTTTGTTTTTTGTCAGGGCTCCAGATGCTGTTTTTCAATCGAACACAGGGTTTCGGCAATTATGGATCCCCACAAACGCCCACTTCCCTTGGTCTGTTACAGTTACCTGAAGACGACTGTATTTCAAGGATATGCTTTCTCTAGGGACTTACAATTTCCATAGAAATGTTGACATAATGATAAAAATGATCCCAATCACAGGGTCAATGGCTCTCCTGCGCTCAGCTGGGTCAGCTGTCACATCTGTCACGGGTCTCAGGGAGTTTGTTCTTATGCAGGGCGTTGGGTCGTGTTTTCCAAAGTATAGTGCAGTTCTGAACATCTCCCTGTGCTAATTGCTTCTGTCCAGGGATAGGCTGATTTAAACAGACACAGGCTGATGTAAGTACCAACTGACCGAAATTACAAAACAGTTGCTATAATTGGGAAGACATATTCCTATTTCAAAAGAACTTTTTAGGTTTTCAAAAGGATCTCTATCAAATCCCTTTAACTACTAGTGCTCCTAGCCCATACGATTTGCTTCACAAAAATCCTAGTTCAGAGGGACAGCTCCGTTGCGCACTGCACGGGTGGCTGAGGGAGGCTGACGGTGACTGTGGCAGGGCGGGGCCCTCCACGGAGGACCAGCCAGGGCCTTGTAGAGGTGAACTGACCTGGAGACAGCCCATCTGAAACATTTCATTTGGAAAACACCAATATGAAAAAAAAATTAAGATAAAAAGGGTAGAACCATTTTTTTTTTGTCAAAATATTGTGATCCACCAGCATATGTTCTGGCCAGTTTCTTTCCCGATAAAAGGCTTGTTTACTGTCACATAAACACAAGCTGTGTGCTGAGGATCAGAGTATTTTAAAACATTAAAAATGATTCTTAAAAAATATTCTTCCTCAACTTCAGTTTGCCCGTATGCACTCACATTTTAATACGTATATATCTAGGGTGAAAGACACTGTCACACAGACATGTGATCACCAAAGATGTCAAAAGGTCAGGAAAAGCTGTAAGACCCAGAGAGTGATATTCACATACTACTGTTCATTTGTGTCTTAGCACCCAGCTTGTCACATATTAAGCGCGTATTAAGTAAGTACACATCTATTTCTTGATTGATTAAAAAGCTCTAATAAAGACATATTTGTTTCTTTGTTTTAAATAATTCTTTCATTTGCTGAGACCCCAGTTTGCTCCACCAAGGATTTCAGGGAGAAACAAAAGCATGGAAGGCTCAGGAATCTGAAAGACGTGCGTGACTCCACAATCTGAGGCTATGCATGTCTTTGTGTGTAGCATTCACTCTATCACCGCTTGTGTGCAGAAGCAGGAGGGAGAGAGACATTTAATTCTGTATCTGAGTGTTCATGTTTCTTTAAGATCTTGCAGTTACTGCTGATGAGCAAAGGAAAAATGACCAGGATACACGCAATGATCTGTGGGTTAACTGAAACTTAAAACACATTCAGCATTAAAGAATGTGTGTGTGTGTGTGTGTGTGTGTGTGTGTGTGTGTGTGTTAGGACCTCACAGAGATGAAGCCAGGTGGTGATCAGATGGTGATGACCTGATTTAGGAAATCAACTGGAGTCAACCAATATTTAGAGACTACTCAAAGCAAGGCACTGGAAAGGATATGTGGACAGAAAACACCTTCCGCACTCCGCCCTTCCTTACAATCCAGGAATGGGAATAAGACAAGCACACAGGTAACGCTCCTAGTGAGCATTCCAAGTTAGGTCTGCAAGAAAGGCAGGGACAAGGCAGGAGTCATGGTAGGGGAGAGGGGAGCAGGAATAAAGCTTCATGGAGATGGGCTAGATGTTAAATAATGAACTGGATTCTACGTGTAGAAATGGTGATTTGCTTAACAGTAGAGCTCATGTATCTTCAAGATGCATTCGGGTGAAGGGTTCTACAGCTCTGATATCCAAATGAGGAAACCAGTGTACTTTATTCAGAACCAGCATAATACAGTTTATTTTAGGAGCTTACCTATTTGCTAAAAAATTTCTCTGCCTCTACTTCTCTAGATGGTAAGTGGGAGCCATCTGGCTGAAAGCCCTTCATAGCGAAGGCAGCTAAATGTGACGTGTGACGTGCTTGGGAATCTTTCAGGTTGAATGGCTTTGAAGTCAAATATCCATTTGGGTGTAACTTCTAAGCACGAAAATTGGGGGCAATGTGATTAAATGTTTCTAACCAAATGCTACATTGCAAAGGCTAGTTATATACTCGTGTCCTTGGGAAAAGCCCCAAGGATGGCTTTGGACATATGTGAGTCTGCGTGTGATTTTGTCGGCTTGTGTGGATTTTGACTTGCACGAGCTCACTCTGCAGTCTAAATTCTCAAGCAGTGGGTTTTGTGTCCTTCCTCTCGGAGCCGCCCCCCTGTGCACCATGTCAGTGCGATGTGAAGCAGCGAGGAAGAAGGAGAGGTCAGGTTCCAGGCTTGCCAGGTGTGTCAGGGACTTCTCCTCGGAGGCTTCCAAAGCACTTACGCAGTTGACAAGTGCATGTTCAGATGCTGCGGGCCCCCAGATCTGTCTTCTGAGAAAATACGCGGTCCCACACTCTGCATAGCACGGGGCCCTCCTTCTGGCTGCAAGGCTGCAGGGGTGTGTGAACTTTCAGACCTTGGGGCTTCAGTGTGTGAGGGTTTAAATAAAAATCAGGGTATAAAGAAAAGACTATTTTCAACCTTGTAAACCAAATCAAAGTAGTCATCTTTCTCATATCCTTCATCTTAAAGGGGACATTTTCCCACCAGTTTCCCCACCCCCCCGAGTCTGGAAGGAAGGCATTATGCTGCTCGTGCAGGAGATGCCTACCTGGCTGGATGCCTATTTTTTCCATTACTGCTTGTCTAAAATGACGCTTTTTATGTAGGCGAGGAGATTTGGGAAAGGTATGAGAACTCCCGATTTCCCTCAGAGGCCTGGGTGATTACAGTAATCCCTCTGGATCGACGGGCCCCTTTTCTCTAGTGATACAAGGTGGGGGACAGCGAGGCCAGTAAAATACTCTCGCAGATGAGCGGAGCTCCTGCCAAAAGGTACCCTTGGGCCCCGAGGAAGCCTTGGGTCAGAATAAAGGAGGAGCAACAGAAGCGCTTTCTCTGCTGTGGCTGCACTTCAGGAGGTGCCGCACCGAGCCGGACCTGGAGATTCTTCCCCCTCTGTAGGCATCTCTCTTTGTTGGGCTAAGACACTGTCTCTATTTTGTTTCTTCTCGAGTTAGTAAATAAACGGATCTTACAGACGCGTAGGGCTGGCTTTCCTGGCTCCAGAGTTCCCTTCCTAATTCCTTTCCTCCCAGCCTGCCAGGCCTGTGCTCAGCACTCGCAGTCCCCACACAGAAGGGGCGAGATAATGAATCTAGATTACAACTGGATTTGAGACAAATTGCAGGTCAATGACCATTAAAATAAGTTTAATCAATGTATAGTTTCTGTATTATGCCAAGACCAAACCATCAGGCCCTGTTTGTTTTCTGAAAACAATTGATGTAGAACATTTTAACCCTTAACAGGTGAATAGAGGTTTGTTTAAATCCTTTGGAAACTTCTCACATTTCCTGAAGAGTCACACTTTATATATTATTTGAAATAACAGAAATAGGTGTTAATATTTCCAAATACTTCCTAAGAGTTTTTTTTTCTTTCTTCCAAACAGCTAATTTTAGACTCCCAGTCAAGATGGAGGCATAGGTAAACTCGGTACTCAGAACCTCCCACAACCACATCAGAGGTAAAACTGAACTGCCCTGGCTGGTGTGGTTCAGTGGACTGAGTGCCAGCTCGTGAACCAAAAGGTCATTGGTTCAATTCCCAGTCAGGGCGCATCCCTGGGTTGGGGGTGTGCAAGAGGCAATGTATTGATGTACATCAATGCTTCTCTCCCTCTCTTCCCCCCTTCCTCTCTCTCTCTAAAAGAAAAATGTACAAGTAAACTACAGAATAACCATCATTCAGAATTGCCCCAAATCTGGCTGAATGGAAGTCCTACAACTAGGGAATTAAAGAAGCCACATTAAGACTGGTAGAAGGAGTGGAGATGCAGAATGGCCCACCTGTGGTGATTTAAAATGGGGATGATGTCGGCTGTGGATGTCCCCCCAGAGGAGCGAGGGGTCCCAGCCCCACACCAGGTCCCCTCCCCACCCCAGCCCGGGGTTCCAGTGCCAGGAAGAGAAGTCCCCATAACTTCAGTCTGAAAAACCCAGCGGGGATTGAGGCCGAGGAAGATGAAGGGCTTCTAGGGTCCTAGGCAGTTCTTCTTAAAGGGCCCACACATGGACTTACTGGGGCTCCTTCTGAGGAGTCCTAAAATCACTCCTTCTGAGCTCCAGCACTGAACAAGCAGCTTGAAGGGCATCGGAAACACATTGGGAGAAAATGGACTTTGCTGCATCAGAGTGAGAGCTGGGGGGCAGCTTTCTCCTGGATGGAAGTGCTAGCACAGCCCTCATCACATGGAGCCAGCAGGTGGGTGCCACAGCTGAGAATCCATCAACCTGGCTCACACTGTGTGCTCTACCCTGGTGATTCCCTGAGGCCCAGCCCCACCCAACTTTCGGGCCCACTTAAGGTGTTTCCAGTGGTTTTTCCATGTGAATGGCCTGC